TAAGCAATGTGCAATTATAGAATAAAATGGGACTATCAGATTTTTTTTTAAAGTGTGACAGTTGCCTGTGCCTGTAATTTTAAATGTAAGGTTGAGGATCGGATTTGGGCAATGAATTCCAATCTTATATAACCACTTCAGCTGTGGGTACGTACATAGGTTTCAGAGAGACAGGATTTCAGACACGCGTTTTCTTTAATGTTTCCTGTTGTCTGGCTTAGGCGTTCCCTGCTCAGCATGCTAGCAAAGTCCTAAATCTAGGCACCTAAAATTCTCTCTTCACTTTATATGTGATTTTGGTGCCTCATTTGGATTTGTGAATTCCATTCGCATACTGGGGGACTTAAGCGCTCCTGTAAATCTTTCCCTGGCTAGAAGAACCTTGAGCCTATCTCTTGTTATGTTTATATAGTGCCTTGCACAATGGAGTACTGGTTTCTATCTGCAGCTGCAGTACAAATCAGCAGCATGTCTTCATCACCAGTCTTTTTATTAGGCTGGCATTGATCCGACATGTAGTATAGAGACTGTACGGTATAAATAAAGCTAATTATAATAATCTACGCTATAAGTAAAGCTAATTAGAAAGTCAAAAGGATTCCTTTGCAACAATGCACTATAAGGTGTTAAGGAGAAACTGTGTGCTGGAAGTCTGTAATTGTGGGGGAATTACCTTGAATAGAATAGACAGTATTATATTTACCTGAATCCAAGACTACTTTAAATTTAAGTTAACCCCAATAATTAGATTCTATACATGGAAAATTATAAACTTGTTATTGCATTCCTTGCATGGAAAACTATTATTAGAAGGCAATTTTAAATTCACCTCCCCACGCCCCCCCTCCCCCCCCGGTGGGGGGCAGGGCAGACAGCATGATCCCTTGCTACGTGTCCCTGCCATTTGCGCGCACAACCCTGTCACTTGTCCCTATCCCATTCCTCCCTCCCACCAGTCACCTGCTCTTCCCTCGCCTCACCACATGGTCTCCCCTGCATATCCACAGAGCCACATGCTCTCCAGTCTCCCTGGTACCCCTCCCCCCATGTTCCAACTAATTCACAGTCTTTCCTGCACATCCATTGTTCCAAACACTGCCTGGTCTCCCCCTGCTCTTTCCCTGCTGCATGAGTGTCCGTCCCCCCCAAAACCCCCTGCCACCTGCCAGGTGGCAGTAGCAGTTGTGGCCTTTGCCCTGGTGCTTGAATCCAAGGTAAGGCCTTATTTTCCCCATGTTAAATTTGTGGGGCAACTTGTCTCAGATTTGAATAAATATGGTATTTGGGTTCATTTGAAACACAGTGAAACAGGAACTCAAATTAGTGCTACCTTAGCAGGAGATTTGACTTACCATGGTAGACCAGATATCTATGTAAATGCCTTTTTGAGTGGAGTTATGAACTCGCCTTCCAAAAGATCAAAAAGATTAGTCTGTAACTTAAATGTGGTGCTTAAGTATGTGTCCTCCTAGGAAGGACTAATGGGATATACCAGATGCTGACTCACTCAGAATAACATCAGACTGGAAGATGGAACAGGGATAGAGAAGAAAGCTGTCAGTGAAAAATGACTAACTTATTTTGTTCAACCTAAAAGTGTGTATGTAGTTTGAGATTCAGACTAAATAAATAGTGGTTAGGTGTAGCTATGTTTTATATCTTTAAACTTAATCTGGCATCTGTTGTTTTTCACCATTCTTAATTTCACTGTTTGGCCATAGCCTGTTTCAGAATTTCATGCAGGGTGTCTCAAATCAGCAAAAGCCTTCAAAGAAGAGTTAGTGATAGGAAGTTGTTTTGTCTGCATCCTCCTTCAGGTTTGCTGTCAAATTGACTCAGAATTTTTCCTATCTACATGTATGTTTTGAAGGGCAGAAAATTCCCCTGAAAGCTATGGAAGGGTATAAAAATTATTCAGCCAGTACATAGCTGCACACATACCATTCACTCTTTAAGCCTTTAGCACATGCATGATTTGAATATAGTTACTTCAGGCTTTCCCTGTGTATTAAGAAATATAGCATTTGAATTAAGTTGTGTGCTAGGTTTCGGTAACTTTTGTCATGCAAAAAATTTTAAACTGCTTCTGATGACACTGTCATAGGGGTACTCGCCACTTCCCCCAGTAATAGGAGACAGGGCACTTCTGGAAAGGGGGAGAAAGGAGAGGCTTAACAAGCCATTTCTGTGCCCTCGGCAATGGTGTGGCAGACATTTTTGCACCCCCACACAAATAGTGCCCAGGACCCACCGTTAGTTACGATACCAGGAGAGCTTTTATTCAAGTCTCTCCAACATCCAGTTGCTGCTACAGAAATCTCTCATTCTGTAGCCTCTGTGCTTTATGCTGGCTTAAAAAGTTTGGAGCTTTCATTTGGGCCAGAAAATGTTATATTTAATGTTCACTTTGTCTTGATTCTCATTCTCTTAAATTTGGAGTCACCTGATTTGGTCTCCTTTTATATGCAATGAGCTGGTGACAGATATGTGGAGGTTCTGTCTATGTGAAAAATCCAAGTAGCTCGGAATTGAGTCAGTAAATGAGCTAAATACAAGGTTGTAAAGGCTAATTATTATGGAATGAAGATAGAGGGTCAGAAATCTATAGAAATCACCAAAGGATGGTCTAGTACAGGTTGCTAGGTTACCAAACCACAAGAATTTATGCAGTTGCATTACTATCTCTTAGTAGGTATGTTGAGCATTTTACTTTCCACCCACTAACTAATCTATGTACAGTACTATAGTTTTTCCTACCAACAGGAAGGGGAAGTCTGAAATGTTTTGAACCTTTGTCCCTTTGTAGGATGAAACCTGGTGAAATGCCAGTTGTTACCTTTGCAAAACTGGCTGTTTTGGGTTTCGGTCACATTGACTGACAAGGAATTTCAGGAATTCTGCTGAACATGTTTGAAATAGAATTGAAAACAATAGGACTTTCATTCAAATCTAAATGCATAACCTTTTTGCATAATTTTAACTTGTTTTCTTGGTACTAATTGCCTACATCTTTATTTTTGCACTTGGGCCTTAATTTCTCTTCTAGTGTTATATTAAAAAGCTTCTTGGAAATGGAATACTTGTTCAGTATTTTACCTGCATGACATTTACTTTAAGACTTTTTTTAAAATGACTGTAATGACTTTTTTTTTAATTACTCTGAAGTAAAATAGTGCTCAGTTATTGCAATTGCAGCTACACGGTCATTAGGTTTTCTGGAACAAATTCCTCATAAAGCAAGGTAATTCCTTAGTTACTGTTTACTTGGTGGGTTACCTTGTTATGCTGTTCCTTGCAACTTGTATTTTTAGAGAACATTTATGTGCTAAGTAGTCTTATCTGTTGTTTAACCTTTGATCTTTGTGATCTAAATGCTAAAATAAGAGGTTGCTGCTGTCAGCAAGAATAGTAGAAACTTGGCATTGATGAGTAAGCTTGGAGGATATTCTTTTGTGAGGTGGTGATCTGGATTTCAACTGTAAGTTGAGAGGGGTACTATGTTACTCTCAAGTCACAAAAGAGGCAAGGTAGAGATGCACCTTGTAGGTTAATTGTATCTGAGCTGTCTAAGATGAAGTGAGCTCTTACAAATCTTTACGATGGATCTCTACCCTGCCTTCTGCCCAGTTAGGAGTCAGAACACAATCAATCACAGTTTTCTATAGCTTATAGAAGCTATATCACAAAACTATTGTAATGGAACATAATAGTTAAGGTTTTAAATAGGATGTAAATACTGATTAGAAAATATCCACTTAACCTGTTGCAGTTATAAGAGTTAAACAACTAAGTGGCATGGCAACCCCCAACCTGGCCCACGTGGGGCTGCTCCGACCCAGCCTGCAGGGCACCCCTGCCTGGTTTGGCACCAGTGAGGCACTTGCAGCCCTCAGAGGTGCAGCGGAGACTCAGCAGCTCCCCAGGGCTGTACCTCACAAGCTGGCTGGGCAGCGGGGTCCTCTCCGGTCTTGGGCACAGACAGGACAGGCAGGAAGGGCACGCTGTAGGGCTGAGCCACATGCCCTGGGAAGCCGCCCCATGCCCCCCCTTACCTTTATGTTGCCCTGCCAGGCCCTGCAGCTCCTGTGGGCCTGGCTGGGAGGCACATGTGGGCATTGCCAGCAGTGGCAGCTGCAGCAGTAGCTTCAGCCACAAAACGCACTACACCTGGCCAGATGTGGGGACAGGGAGGTGGCCTCTGACATCTGCACTCCCCAGAGCAGAGTTGATCTGCTCTCCTTGTGGACAGCAGAGTAGCGGGAAGGGGGAGGGGGGACTAGTACCTAATAAGTAGCCTCCACAGACCCCAGTGCAACTGCTTGCAACCTCCCTGCTGCGTGCTGCCAAGAGCACCCCCCTCCTCTCCTCCTTGCTCCTCCCTCCCTCTCACCAGCCCTGCTGCTATCTAGTTCTTTCTGGGGCGCTGCACAGCTTCCCTTCTCCCTCTCCACTCCTCCCAGATCCCCTTTCCTTGCTGGCCTGCACCCCGTTCTGCAGTAAACGATAACCAGGAAGCTATATCCAGTTATTACTGGGCTTATTGGTTAAATGATTAATTATTTATTTTTTCACATCCCTACATGGGTGACTGGTGCCTCCTAATACTGGGGGAGTCCCACCAGCAGCCAACTGCCAACGGGGGGGTCCCCCAGCAGCTGATCACCACCGCCGTCAAAAATACTGGTGGTGCTTTTCTCGGTGGGGGGGAGCACAACCAATCTCCGGGGGCGTACATGGTCCTGCGTGCACCCCCTACACATTGCCAATACCTCCCTACTTTTAAATAAGTCAGATTCAGATTGAATGTGTGTAATATACTGCAGCATTAAAGTTGGCAGTTTTCCCCCTTACTCTATAATAAAGTTAAATTAAGTATCATGATTGTGCCCTTTTGATTCACCATTGTAATTTAATTTGAAACAGTATTTTACTCAAATTTTGTGGTGGCAGGTAATTTACATTTTGAAACGCTTACAAACACTTTTTTTCCCCCCCTGTAGTTTTGTTACTGGAGAAGATAGAGGATGATGACATTTTTAATAAAACTTTGAAGATTACAGACTTCGGTCTGGCTAGGGAATGGCACAAAACCACTAAAATGAGTGCAGCAGGCACGTATGCATGGATGGCTCCAGAAGTTATCAAGTGCTCAATGTTTTCTAAAGGAAGTGATATTTGGAGGTAAGTGCTTTGTCTACTTCAGATTACTACATCAGATTGCTTAATAGCAATTTTCTCCTCCTAAGATTTTGCAGGGAGAAACTGATATGTGAAGAAACCCTTTGTTTATAAGGTGTTCTGAATTTCTATTTTACCACCTGTTAAGTATAATTCTTGTTTCAGAATATACCTCAATTGGCCTGTCTAAATAGTCATAGCTCTCTCATCCTTTTATTTTAACATTAATATCTTAAAGAAATCAATGACTCAGTAAGAGAAGCCTTTCATTTCTTAAATCCCCAGATAGTTTAAATGCCTAGATATTTTACATGGGGGAAACAAGAATTCCTACCCTTGTTGCATAAATAGACTATGAAGAGGCAGATCCTACATTAACTTCTTAACCAGTCTCTGGAAAGTTTGCCTGGTATGTAAGACATGGTACTGAGACTAGTTGATGATTACCTCATATGCAGTAAATCTGGTAAATGAATAAAAGTTGCAAATCAAGGTAAAGAGGCTGTCACCTTAACTTTGCCAAATGTTAACTTAAGTTGGTGCTGCTACTTATGAATCTAACAAGTGCTTATTTTTAGATATGAACTGTGAAATCGAATTTAAATTAGAGATTATACATAAATAGACATTAAATGAGTTTCTGTTAGTATGAGGAAGATGGAGGTGTATTTGAGCCAGAAACAGCTTTACTTTACCACTAGGGTGGTGGGGATTTCCATAAATTAAATCCATGGGTAATCTCCTAAGAGTGAATTGGGTAGAATTCTAGAATCAGTGCTGCTTGAATTATGCAGTTTGCAATATGTTGAGTATCAAAGGGAAGAAATAATTGTGTGGGCAGGTAAGTTGCTTTTTTTTTTTTGCATTGCATAAAACAGTCACCACTGGCTAGGGGGTTCCAAGTTTCTCTACTCCCACACTGTTTAGCCACTCTACCCCTTGGCTGTGTCTTCCAAATATAGCCTCAAATTTTGAGCTCTTTCAAGTAAATGTATAAGTAACACATTTGGAAGGGTTAATGCTACATAATCTATTGCCTGATCTAAGTTTGTGCAAGGTTTGTGATGTGTGGTTCTTAACTCATATAGGGTCTGCTTAGATGTGTCACTGCTATTCTGCACCGTGAAGTCATGTTTTTGGTAAAATCAGGATAGCTCCGTAGGCTGCACTCCTAGTTTCTGATGTACTTATTATCTGTAAGAAGTCTGAACCCTCATTCTTTAGGCCAGATGTTTTGCATCAGTCTGAGTTGGTGGCCATTTGAGAGAACCAGTTTGTTTTTGTGTTGCTGGGATGGAGGTTGGGTGGAGGTGTTTCCCTAACCAGCTGTATTCCATGCTTAATTACAGGTCCTGTCCAGGCTTTTAGGTATCTGAGGGGGTATGCTTTGGTGCAATTGTTTTATATTCTTCTGCAACATTAGTTTACATTTTTGGAATCTACAGTATTTCTCTTCTTCGCCTTCTATCCTGCACGCCTCTCTTGTAAAAATGTAAGTATTTAGTTTAATGATGGAGTCCTAACAGGAGAGGTTTTTATTTAGTAAGGCTTGTGTTGTACACTTTGCTTTCAGTCCTGCTGTCTTGCCTGCTTTCTTCATCTTGATCTATTCTGTTCCTCTATACTCTTTCCTTAATAGAAAAGTAGAGAAAATTGGTTGTGCAATATAGTCCCACTGAATGCTATTCCTTTTTAAATAAATAGCATTCTGGATGCAGAGCATGTAAGAGTTTCAGTAGGGCACATTACAAGTCATATGGAGAACAGCTAAATTGTGACGGATTTTCTTTTTGAAATGTTTTAGCATTAAACTAAATATACACAGTATTTACAATCCTCCTCAGGACTTGATATAAAAAAAGTAACCAGAAGCAGTGGAGACTGACAGGTTTGTATCCAGTGTTCAGATTTCCAAAATCTGCTAGTGCTGGGAAGTTCATCTGGACAAGGTTGCCTGCCATGTAGTCTTTTTGTTTTGTTTAGAAGAGTGGAAGAGAAAATAAAATGTATTTTTCAAGAAGAGTCATTATTTCAGTTTAACTATTTGGCTGGCATAAGAGTAGGAAATTGTTTATAAGAATCGTGAGTCTAGATTTAAGTGAATATGTAATGGATACTCTGCCTTAAATACCTGAGGATGGACTTAAATAGTGAGACACTTTCATGGCATTAAGAAAAATAAGCTAAATTTTAACAGGTTCAACCATTAGGGAATACATTTCAAGGGCCTAGGAAGATGCAAGAATAGATAGATGATTCTGTGCATTTTCTTTAAAAGGTGCTTCCTCTTAAGTGCTGGGAATAAATGCCTAGAATGACTGTATTTGGGTTTACAGAATTTACTGCACAAATAGCTGCTTCTGTACCTGAGAGAGAGGTAATAACTACTTATCAGAGGTAATGATAGAACAGCACCTCCCAAAACCCGCACTTAGTAAAATTAGACTGTGGGTTTCCCTCCCCCCTTCATTTTCCCCTCTTCCCCCTCCGTCCACTGCCCCTCCTTTCCCTGGTTTTGGCTCTTGAACGGCTCTTGAGATTAACGTTCAGCCTCTATAATTAAAATGGGCATTCTCAGACTGTTACTGTGTTGGTTTGATTGAATTCCACAACTATCTTTCTGTCAGTGTTAAAAACTACTTAACATTAGAAACTTTGAATTCAGAAAGTAACTGAACCTGGACAGTACAATGAACAACTTGTTGAGGCATATTTTTCCCCTGCCTTTTTAGCCAAATGCAGCACTGCTTTGCTGAACTTCATTTAAAGTTCTCAACAGACATTTTTGGTTTATTTTAGTACAGATTATTCACTGCTCTGTATTTGGGAGCAGAGTTTATGACCATATCAGAAAGCATAAGACTTATTTAGGTGCCCAAAATTAGGTTTGAAAGCAAGAAATAGTGGTTTGGTAGAGATCTTCACCTGTGTAAAGTTCAGTACAGATCAAACTACTCATTATTGTTTCACGTAACTGTTGAAATGAAATTTTGTTGGAGTGTGAGTTTGCTTTTCTCTTTGGATGATGCATACTGGTCTATTTTATCTGGGAGCATCTTTTCTTTGATAAATCAGTTTACTGAAAAAGCCCAAGACTTCACCAATATGTCTAGTATACCTTTTTCAGTGCTTTTTCTCATTAATTCTAAACAAATGTTAGTTCAGTAGCCTGCATATCCAAAGCAAGGAGAACATAAGGCTTTGAGAAGTCAAGACTTTGAATGTAGCTCTAGACAGACACTGCTTGTTATTCAATTAATGTACATTTTTAAATTCTCTTCTGGTAGTACTTTTGTTGCACTATATAGTGTCTTGGGATTTCTGATAAAACAATAAGAATTCATACAAATTCTAAACAACTTTGTTCTAAAGAGAGCCAAGGCCAGAGAACGATGCAGTTGTTTCTGTCTTTGCTGACCCAACACATTTTGTGGAGGAAAAGCAGTGTTGCAGGTGACTCTCATGGGTGAGAATGGAGAGAATATTATCTATCCCTTTGTTTGTTTTGTTTAGTTTTTCTTCCTTTTCCTCTGGGCTGCTCCTTCTGCAGTTGCTAAATTAGGAGAAGGTTGCCCCTAGTGTCTTTTTTTCTGCATTTTGTGGCTGTATAATAGGAGTGAAAAGAGTAACTATAAGGCTCACTTTTTAAGTACAGGTGGTAACAAAGTCCACAGAGATAGTTGAAAAAAGGAGAGAAAAAAAGTCAGTTCAAGAAATTCTAAGGACAGTTAATTGTTTTGGAATTTGATAGAAAATCAAGAAGTAAAATGTTAGTGCTCTAAAATTCAAGACATTTTCCTCCTCTGTTTATTTGACAGGAGGCAATATATTCCCCTCACCATCTTCCCCCAGATTAGAAAAATGAAATTGTATATGTGGCAGTATCTCAGGTCCTGCTACATGATTTGTAAGAAGGTTAAAAAAGTAAGAGGTTACTTTACAGTATGTCATGGGGAAGCATAATTTCAGGTTTCAAATAGTGTCTTTTCTTTTGAAGAGAAAGTGATATCTTTATTTGTTTGGACAAACTCTGGTTTGGTTTGGTTTGGTTTGGCTGATATTGATGGGGTGATATCTAGAAGGCTTCTTTTTAAAGTCCCCCTTTCCTTCCTTACACTTTCCCTTCCCACCTTTAATCCCAATCATCCTCTCTTTCCATCAAGGCTCTCACAGTACCTAGTAGAAAAAAGGTTTGTTTGTTTGTTTTCCCTTCCCAAGTTCTTCATGTGGGTATGTTGTCAGTCAGTGCAAGGCAGTAAGTGGACTGCGAGCCATTACATTTGGCCAATATACACAATGTTATTAAATGTTGATATAAGAAAGAGGAGGTGACAAAAGTGAAATAGTCCCTTCACCTATGACTTAGGGACCTACCTAATTTGCAGGGGCTGTTCCCTGACTGAGGGGCCTGGTGACCCCGCCCCTCACTGCTAATTGTCTGCAAAGGCTGTCCATCACATAGTCCTGTACCTTGCACCCAATTGGTGGAAAGGGGTGGGGGCACATGATAGGCCACCCTTGCAGCTAGTTAGTGACTAGGGGTGGGGGCAGCAGCCATCTTTCTGGCACCCCTTTGAGCAGGTGGCCCCCTTCTTTACTCCTCCCCCCGGCGAGCTGCCACAGTGCTTGGTAAGTTGGATTTTTTGTTGTTGTTTTTGTTTCTTTTTTTTCCTGTGGATTTCAGTAGGTCCCTACCTATGACACTAAAGACCTTATCTATTACAGTATATAACTGGACAAAGTGCTAACTGGGTTTTTTCTGAATAAACATATTTGGAAGATAAAACTAACCATTTTAAAATTTGCTTTATAGTTATGGAGTGTTGCTGTGGGAACTGCTTACAGGAGAAGTTCCGTACCGTGGCATTGATGGTCTCGCTGTGGCTTATGGAGTAGCTGTCAATAAACTTACCTTGCCCATTCCATCCACCTGTCCTGAACCATTTGCTAAACTAATGAAAGGTATCTATACTGCTTTTTTATACTTCAAAATGTACATGTCCTTCTGCAATATCTGTGCTTTCTTTATGCTGGGTTATACAATTACTTTAAAACTCAAACACTTCATCTGGTAGTATGCCAACCAAGTATAATGTAGTGATTCCTCTCTACCTTTACTCCCCTTCCTGCCACTCCAGTACATTTTAACACATTTCGGTGTAATCCAGGAGTGTCGAACTCATCAAGCCCCATGGTCTGGATGAGTGGTGCTGGGCTGGTCCTTGGGCTGATTGGGCCCACAAATTGGCCCTGTGTGCTGCCAGCTGCATATGGCGCGCCAGGTGATAGAGCTCCACAGGCCAGACCCAGCCTAGGGCCCATGTCTTTTACTTTCCTGGTATAAGCCGTACAGTACTGTATCACATCACTTTAAAAATCACTTCCATCAGAAACCACAGTTATGTCACAGTCACCTCTTGATGTCCAAACGTGTTCTGTTCAGCCATCCCTTCTTTAAAAAGAAGTAAGGGAACTGCAGACTAATGTTGCAGTGTCAGAGGTTGCCTCTGGTTGTTCATTTTATTAACATACTACATAGTGCTGATAGTTCTCAGTGGTAGCAGATGACAGAACAAGGAGCAATGGTTGCAGCAACTGAAGTTTAGGTTGGATATTTAAAAAAATTAAAAAACAACAACAAAACCTCTCTCACTAGGAATGTGGTGAAGCATTGGAATGGGTTACCTAGAGAGATGGTGGAATCTCCATTTTTGGGAGGTTTTTAAGGCCTGGCTTGACAAAGCCGTAGCTAGAATGATATAGTTGGGGCTAGTCCTGCTTTGAGCAGGGGGTTGGACTAGATGACTTTCTGAGGTCCCTCCAAGCCTAATTTTCTATGTTTCTGTGGTAGTCTGCTTCTTCAGATCCTGAAAATAGAAGTTATGTTTGGGAAAAAAACTTGACTTTTATAACACTTTGAAAAGCCCTGTTATACTGTTGGTAAGCTTGACTTATAGAAACAAAGAGAACGTAGGCAATTCTTAGGAAGAAGGTAAGCACTTGAACTTTGAATTGGAAAACTATGGATTGTGTAATTGTAAGCTTCTCCTTATAGTGCAACTGATTGGATTTTGGTGAATTTCAGAATGTTGGGAGCAAGATCCTCATATCCGACCATCATTTGCCTTAATTCTTGAACAGCTTACTGCCATTGAAGAGGCAGTTATGACCGAAATGCCTCAAGAATCCTTCCACTCCATGCAAGATGACTGGAAATTAGAAATACAACAGATATTCAATGAACTGAGGACTAAAGAAAAAGTAAGTGGATTTTTCCAGTTGTAAGTGTAATAACTGTAATCAAGGAGTAGGAAAACTAGGAACTACTGGTGTGTAGGTTAGTGGGTACAGGCTTTTTTACTAGTGGGATTGGGACACTTATTGGCATTATTCCATAATGATGCCAGAAGTCTGAATATGTATATAGCTCAGGCCTAAGATAACTCCTATACCAGAGGTTCCCAACCAACCGGGCTGCAGTGGTTTTGCTGTGGGGTCGTTGCATGAGTCCCCTGCTCTGAGCCCCTCGCCCCCGCATCTGTCCGCCCACCTGAGCAGCTTCCGGGGTCACATCTGAGCTTCCAGGGTTAAAGCCAGGCAGCTGTTTAAAAAAAAAACAAAACAACAACAAAACATTGGGAACCCCTTACCCTATACTTTTACTTTTCTCATAGGTAAACTTGAACATTGTTGTCTGTTCTTGGTGCAGATGTGCCCTTTTTAACTTTATAAATTGTCTTGATTCCAGTTATATTTAGAATATCGTCTATTCTCAAAATAATTTATAGAGCTACTAACTGCTGTTACATGGTATGTCTCGGAGTTCAAGGACTTTTGCATTTTCCTTCATGCTTTAGTTTTAAACAAGTGAAAATAAAGACTATAAATCTGGAGCAGAATGGCAGGAAGTCAACCAATGTACAGTTTTGCCAGTTTTTTGTTTGTTTTTTTTTAAATCTCCATGTAGTAGGAACGTTGGGCTCAAACTTAAGTACTGACAGGAAAAATAACTCCTTGTCTTTTTTTATTATAGCTATTCTACATCATTCAGTAAACCTTTAAGGAGGTTTAGGCTTCTCTGCTTCTTCTCAAAACCAATATATATGTGGGCATGATGGAAAATGATTGACCCTTCCAAAAGCATAGTAGTTTTAGGGGGAAAAAAACAGACTGTAAGGTTTTTACCTAGTTATGGTTTGAAATCCTGTTTGTATGTAAAAGTTAAAAAAACCAAAACAAACTTCCTTTTTGATGGACATGTCTTTTAACTGTTTCATGGTGTAGGAAATCCATGGCAAGATTGGACCAAAGTTTGAAACTTGCCCTTTAACCTTCTGTTTGTATATGGGCAAACAAATACATTGCAGCAACTTAAAAGTAGGTGGGTTATTGCCATAGAGTAGCTGATATTCAGTAACTGAGTAAACTGTCCCCAGAGTAAATGGAAGCTGGAGTGCAACAGACTACCCTTGTTCCACTGAAAGATAAATTGTCTTGGCTTAGCTTTTGCGTATCACAGGGTAGGTGCAAGTAGATGATCAGTTACTACAGAACTGCTGACACAGTAAGTCCCTACCCCACGCTTCCTTGCGGGAAGTGTGTTTATTTGTACTCCTTAAGTACACTGGATTCAGCTCCATGTGCCTTTCAACATAAGGCAGTGGTATTCAACCTTCTGGCCCTGCAGGTCAGATCCTGCAGGCAGGGTCAGTCATGGGCCAGACTCAGTGGGGTTGGTGCATGGGGTCAGTACATAGGTGCAGTCTAGCACACTGGCCTGGATGCAGCCATGGAGTAACCTCATGCTCCACCTTGATCTGGCACCTAGGTGCTGTCATTTGGCTCATAAGGCTCTCCACAGGTATAGAAATTTGTTGACGGGGAGCAGTGGTATTAATAGTTCCCTGCAACTTCCTGCAACTGCTGTGGCAGTTGATGCTACCACCACTCCCTCAGTGCCAAACTTCCAGACCCAAGGGGAGCCCTTCAGACTGGAGGTTGAGCACTACTGATATAAGTAGGGACTTACCAAATTCACAGCAGAACTAGTGCGCAGTGGCTCCTTTAATTTTGCATGTTCCCCCAAGCGCCCCTTGCCACTGTGCCCTCACCTTCCTCCCCCGCTGCCGATTAGCGGAGGACCTCACTGCTCCCTCCTGATCATCAGGGAAGCTAAAACTGCAGTTTTAAACACTGTGCTGTTGTTGCCTCCCTGCCAGTCAGCAGCAGACATGAAGGCTGTCTGGGGCCCCTCAGCCAATTGGTGGTGGGAGGCAAAAACAGCGCCATATTTAAAACCACGGTTTTTGTCTCCCCGTTGATCAGAAGTGAGTCAGCAGGACCCCTTCACCAATCAGTGCGGGGTTCAGGGGAACCTACAAGATTAAAGGGGCCCCAGCACACCCACTTCGCCATGAATTCAATAGGTCCCTAGATATAAGGCAATCCTCTAATCATTCTATGACTTCTTTAAACCCCTTTCTTTTTTTCCCTCTCAACATTCTTTGACCTATGTACATCAAAACTGTTCGCTATTCACTATATCGCCTCAGTATTTAACAGTAGTGTGACTTCCCTACTCAGTATTCCCTTGCTTATACATTAGCTCTTTCAGCAGCAGCATTGCATTGGCTGTTCTTGTTCAGCTAATATCCACCCCAAATTACAAGTCTTTCTTCATTGCTTCTTTTTAAGATAGTCATCTATCATGTTGGACGCTGGCAGACATGGAAAAAAAACCTGGTGCTTCACAGAAAAAGGAACCACATCAGTTTGATCTGGTTCCCCAGCATCTACATAGATCACATGCTTCAGCATTTTGGCACTTTATCTAATAGCTGATTCAGCTATTAGATATAAAAGCACCAAAAAGCCCTGCTGAAGTGCATGATCTATACAGACATTGGGCAGGCAGGGACAAACTGACACAGTTCCTCTTCTGGGCATGTGCTGCATTTGGTATGGAAGTGTGTTGAGCTGAAAGTAAAATGATGTGTTTCCTTTTATTTTCCACGTTCATCAGCAGCCATAAATATTTATAGTCTCCCTTCCCGCATGTATGACTCTGCATTTAGCCACACTAGCACTGTTTAGTCGCAAGCTTTTATAGTGACCTGTCTTCCTTATTATTTAACTCTCTTCCAATCTTATTATCAGCAAATTCTTGAGTGGTCTTTTTTGTCCTTCTAGGTCCCCAATAAAACGTTACATAATATGGGACCAAAAAAAGCAAGTCTTTATGCCACCCTGTTAAAAACACCCCATTTAATGACTACTCCTTCTTTACAGTTACTTTTGAGAACTATTAGGTAGTTGTTTTCTTTTTTTTTATCCATTCATGTTGATTTTCATTCAGTTATATAATTAAAATATTATATATACCAAGTCAACTATATTTAAGAGACTTCAATAAAACATCAGCAGCATCTTTACCTTAAGTAACTGAACTTGTCAAACCTGTCATAAGGCAAATCAATATCAACATCCACCAATCAACAAAGATTTATGAAGCTGAACCAGGTAGCCCTGCACCTCATCTGCATAGTTTTGGAAGACCCCAGTAGTCATGACAAGAATAACTGGTTCCAGTCATGAGTGGGGAGATTGATTAGCACATGGATCCTTTTTGGGGGGATACTTGGAGTACACATGTATACTGAGCAGTGCTAAGCTGTGGGGTCGCCTTAGTTTGAAATCCTGCTGACTCTCTAATGGGGCCTGCCCCAATAAACTACATGATAAATCAGGAACCTCTTGGCTTTTGCCTAATACCATGCACAGTTTGTAGTATATACAAGAAGGTGCCAAAGTGCTGCTTAAAAGGTATGATTATGGAGTAGCTGTGCTAAAACTTCTGGACTTTAAAAAATAAAAAGGTAACTTGCACCATTTCTGGATGAACTAAGCCTATGGATACTATATACAAGTTATTGTACCTATCTCTAATTTAAAAGTCAGTGTTTTCAAATTTGCTCATCACTTCCATGTGTTCAGCAAGAGCAGGGTTGACAGTAAGATGGAGGCAGACAGGAAAGAGGCTGCCTGACTCTTCTCCCTGCCCCGTCCCCTTCCCAATTCATTTTTCCTTGTAGTAATGGGAAGGGGACAAATTCAAGGCAAACCTCCATTATTTAGATTCCACACCTGGAAAATTATAGCGAATGTGTACATTTTACATATATAAAATATAATTATTGGGGGGTCATTTTATAATCGGGGTCATCGTATATTTAGGTAAATGTTCTACAGCAAAAGCTTTGTTATCCGCCACCCATGGGAAATGGGGGGTGCCGGATAACCAAATATGCCAATTACCTGAGAGGCCCAAACGAGTGTCTTTGCTTGTTAGGGCCACCACGTCCAGTGCGCTGCTGCCCCTCCCACCGCATCGGTGTGCTGGGGGACAGGGAATGGGGCCCCGGGCACACTGGGGAAAGGCTGCTATGCCCCGGGCCCTGGGGGCTTGGCAGCACAGGCTGCTTTGCCCCAGGCTGTGGGGGCTTGGTGAAACTGGAAGTGCCACGGTGGGTACTTCTAGTTTCAGTTTTGTGCATTGACTGGCATGCTGGTTTGTAAAGAGCTGGATAAATGTGGCTTTTACTATACTTATAAGGCATACTTATGTATCTAAAAATATGTGATATTAGGGAAGAAATGGTCCAGACAGTGCCTTGGTGAGATGTTTTAAAAACTATTCAGTGTAAATTATTTGGAGCTGCTGACTTTTAAAAACGTCTAGTTTTGGGATCTTTTTTTAAAATGGCCTCTATTTAGTCCTTGGAGCATAAAGCATTTTAGCATATGATATTCATCTATCGTTTGACTTTTCTCCCCAAATTCTGAACAGAATACTGCTGTCTTCTTCCTAAACAAGCTGTAAACATTTGTAAGCATTCCAGTCACATGAGTCCTTTCCAGCAGGTTTTAGTAATACCATCCATATAGGTTGAACTTATGTTCCAAAATAGCAATTTCATCGTTTGCAATGACTGAGGCTTTTATTTTAGCATTGGTACATGGGTATATAATTTCCTCAGTGTCCTTTGGCGAGTTTGATTTTTCCTAAATGCTTATTTGGTAACACTTTCCTTCTTTCTTCTTTTAGTTTAACACCCTCTTATAAAGTCTAGCCAGTTTGGTCCCCAGAAGACTAACTCGGCTTCTATAAGGAGAAGAGTTAATAGTGCTGCTTTGGCCTCCAGATTAGTAGAAGGGGAACCAGTTTTCTAGGGGACAGTATTTCCCCAAACCAAAATTTTTCACATTACACCATTTTTCTAAGCAGTAGAAGGAAGATGACAGAAGGGAAACAATTTTCCTTCAGCACACTTTCCAGTTCTCTGAAACAGCCTGTGCTATATTCTGAGCAACAGTGTGAACCATCCCAGTTAGATTTTTGTTGGTTGACCTCAGAAGCCTATTCAATTTTAAAGTTGTATCTTGTGTCCAAGCTCCAAGAAGATAGCATATTTGTCCTGTAGTTTGCTAGTCCCCAAAATGTTACCCTGACTCTCCTTCACAGTCAATACCCAGTCAGTTTTGGATAGCTGAAGATCTCTTGTGGGCCTGCTTGATTTTTCTTGTGGTTTGGGCTGAGTAGCCATTCAAAACTGTTTTAGATAGTGTTGCGTTCTGTGTAACCAGCAAGATCTTCAGAGGTCACTTCTGTTTCTACACTGAGGATATGATAATAGTTGCAAACTTCTGCTGCTCCTCTTCCTTTCAGGGGTTACAGTCTTGCTTGCCTTTAGGCGTTTGTTGCCTCATCCTTTTGTCATTGATATTTATGAACTGCCTTCCCTCCTTTCTCTGGTTTTTAAGTGGCTAGTTCCTCTCTTCCTGATTGGCTTTTCTAGGAAGTCCTCATTTCTTTTTTTTAGCTCTGTACTGTCCTTTCAGTCAAAAAGGACAGCATAATTGCCAATGTATGCTACAAATGCAAGGGAAGTCCCTTCTGGCTTTATATAGGAAAGAAAACATGGTGCAGGTTCTGAGCCATGAGATCCAAATTCCTTTTTAACACTGATCTGTCATAATTTGCCACTCCCATCAGTTTTTAATCATTACAGTATAAAACTTCCAGTGAGTAGACTTGCGATTCTGTTGCTATTGACTAAAAGCAAAGTGGTAGAATAAATACTTTGGCCTTTTTTAATTGACTTTTTTTTAATTAAATTTTAGTGAATTTTCTTCTTGATGACATTTGTTAAAATTTTTAAATACTTGCACCCTATATTTACTATTAATCTATTAATAATTTAAATTAAAAATATCAAGTAGGACCTCGAAGAATGTAGTGATGACATTTTCTGAATGGCATATTCTGTTTAAAAAAAAATCATTTAAAATTCCTGGATTGAATAATGCCTGAAAGTACATACAGATTGTCTTGTGACTTGCTTTGAAGTCTTCAGAACTGGATGTATTTTTTTCAAGAGCAATTGGGGTATAGTTACGCCACTCAATTTTGAAATAGTTCTTTGTTAAAGAGAAGCTATACAGTTATTTTATTTCATTTTATTTTATTTTATTTTCTCAAGCAAATCCCGGGACGTCATTCTCCCCCTGTACTCGGCCTTAGTGAGGCCGCAGCTGGAGTACTGTGTCCAGTCTTGGGCTCCACAATTCAAAAAGGATGTGGAGAAGCTTGAAAGAATCCAGAGAAGAGCCACGCGCATGATCAGAGGTCAGGGAAGCAGACCCTACGATGACAGGCTGAGAGCCCTGGGGCTCTTTAGCCTGAAAAAGTGTAGGCTCAGGGGTGATCTGATGGCCACCTACAAGTTTATCAGGGGTGACCACCAGCATCTGGGGGAACGTTTGTTCACCAGAGCGCCCCAAGGGATGACGAGGTCGAATGGTCACAAACTACTTCAAGATCGTTTCAGGCTGGACATAAGGAAGAACTTCTTTACTGTCCGAGCCCCCAAGGTCTGGAACAGCCTGCCACCGGAGGTGGTTCAAGCGCCTTCATTGAACACCTTCAAGATGAAACTGGATGCTTATCTTGCTGGGATCCTATGACCCCAGCTGACTTCCTGCCCTTTGGGCGGGGGGCTGGACTCGATGATCTTCCGAGGTCCCTTCCAGCCCTGATGTCTATGAAATCTATGAAATTTTCATACCACCAGCACCATTCTATACATAGCTAACCCCAGCAGCAATTTTGCTAGGATACAACCATGGAGAGGTCTCTTTATGGTATAGACATGCTGTATAAAGCATATTGTATAGGTGCAAGATGAACATAAAATAAGAAAGGGAATTTATAACCTAATGAGAGCTGACCAAACACATTTTCTATGATCACCAGAGGTCTCATTACAAGTCCTTGATTTAACATAGGATGGTGATGTTGGTCACAGTGCTGCTTCTGCTTCAGTGTATATAATTTGTGATGTAAACGTGATACCTAAAAGATCTGTTCAATGCCTGGAAGATCTTTTTCTACAGAAAGACAGGTGACTTGTAAAGAACTAAGCAGATGTGACTATAATGGATTTTTTTGTGCTTTAAAATCATAGAATCGTAGAAAATTAGAGTTGGAAAGGGCCTCAGGAGGTCACCTAGTCCAAGCCCATGCTCAAAGCAGGACCATCACCAACTAGATCATCCCAGCCAAGGCTTTGTCTAGCCAGGTCTTAAAATAAAAACCTCCTAGGATGGAGCTTCCACTACCTGTCTGGGTAACCTCTTCCAGTGTTTTACTACCCTCCTAGTGAGAGAGTTTTTCCTAATATCTTACCTTGCTGCAGCTTGAGACCATTGCTCCTTGTTCTGTCATCTTCCCCTGATAAGTCTCACTCCATCCTCTTTAGAACCACCCTTCAGTTTAGCTGAAGGCTGCTATTAAATCCCCTCAGTCTTCTCTTCTCTAGACTAAATAAGCCCAGTTCCCTCAGCCTCTCCTCAGAAGTCATGTACTGCAGCCCCTTAACCATTTTCATTGACCTCTGCTGTATTCTCTCAAATTTGTCCACATCCTTTCTGTAGTAGGGGGTCCAAAACTGAACACGGTACTCCAGATGTAGCCTCACCAGTGCTGATTAGAGGTGAAGAATCACTTCCCTCAATCTGCTGACAATGCTCCTACTAATGCAACCCAGTATGCCATTAACCTTCTTCACAAGGGCACACTGCTGGCTCATATTCAGCTTCTTGTCCTCTGTAACCCCTTTCTGGTCCTTTTCTGCAGAGCTGCTGCCCAGCATCAGCCCCCAGGCTATACTGGTGCATGGGATTGTTCCATTCTAAGTACAGGACTTTGCACTTGTCCTTATCAAACCTCATGAGACTTATTTTGGTTCAATCCTCCAATTTGTCTAGTTCTCTCTGAATCCTAACCCTACCTTCCAGCATATCTACTACTCCCTCCCAGCTTGGCATCATATGCAAACTTGCTGAGGATGCACTCATGCCATCTTCCAGGTCATTGTTGAAAATATTGATCAAGACTGGTCCCAGGACCAATGATACCGGCTGCCAACCAGACATCGAGCCATAGACCATTACCCTTTGAGCCCAATGCTCCAGCCGGTTTTCTGCCCACCTTACAGTCCATTCATCTAGCCCATGCATCCTTACTTAGTTATAAAGTACAGTGAAAATTCATAAAGGACTAATTTAGTATTGCATTGTAAAAAAGGCTAATAGTACAATTCTTTCTAATTTCATTTATCCATGTTTGTGTAAATCTTATTCTAAGGAGCTGCGGTCACGTGAAGAAGAACTGACAAGAGCAGCCCTTCAGCAGAAATCTCAGGAAGAATTATTAAAACGTCGTGAGCAGCAGTTAGTGGAACGGGAGATTGATGTCCTGGAGCGTGAGCTGAACATTTTGATATTCCAGTTAAATCAAGAGAAGCCTAATGTAAAGAAGAGGAAGGGGAAGTTTAAAAGGAGTCGGTTAAAACTTAAAGATGGACATAGAATTAGTTTGCCTTCAGGTTTGATGCCTTTTCTTTTTTCTTCCCCTATTTGCAGTGAACTATTGAAACTGAGATTCCTTTGCTTTAACATCTAGATATTATATATTAACCTTGAAGATGCCTAATATACTAAAGGGTCTGACCTATATTAGTATAAAATGTATAAAACAACTTTTTTTTTTTTTCAAGAGATCCTTTAACAGATAGAACTTCCAGCTAAATCATATTTTGCAGAACATTCCTCCTTTCAGTTGATCAGTCAAAGATACTCTTCCTGTTCAAAAATGTTTCTTGGGAAAAGTGTGCTATATTGGGATCCAAAGGATCATGAGTTCTTATTTGCCTGGTAATTACTGCTGTTAATGGTATCTGTATTTCACTGCCCTTTTTCTGCCCACTGCTACCCTTGATAAGATCAGGTACTTGGACTATCAGCTCTGGATCTCTCAACAGACTGAGAGATGGCATAATGTTGCTTCCTACAGAATTGGGAATAGAGCCCATGCTTCTAATATGGGAGACACCAGACTTGCATTGTCCCAGAACAATAGGCACCTTCCAGAGCCAGAAATAGAACTCATGATTTATATTCTCCAGTATTTTACTCTTGTTAGGCAAATTAGTAACCTACTAGCAAGGTGTGCATCAAGTTTCCCTCTCCTGGTTGGTGCACAGACAACTAAATGTGTAGCACAAATGGCTGTGTCCAGGGCTGAAAGTCCAGGATTTAAATGCACTTATTGACTTGCATAATGGACATTGTGTTTTCACCTCATATAAAATTGGGGAAATATATTTTAAAGATGTAACATTTAATTTAATTAAATGCCCTTTAAAGCAGGCATGATAGTTCCATAAAATCTGATTTCCCACATAAGCAAGTTCTGAGGCACTGGGAAAACTGAAAGTGATTCAATAGTGTAAAACAAAACTATTTGTATTGAAATTTGCAGATGTGGTGGTAACCTTTCTCAAAGTGAGGAGAAAAATGTGTAATCTGTCTTCTCAGAACGATGTGCCAGTTGACTGGTTTCAATTAAGTGTTGAAAATATGCAGTTGGTATACAGATGTGCAGAACTTGAGCACAGATGGAGGCTAAAACAGCTGGGATGGAATAATTTTATTAATCTACCTCCTTATTGTCCAAACGTGACCTTTGTCAGTTTAGACTTTTTAATCACATTGACCAGAAGAAAAAAATCAGAGCAAAGCTGCTGATACCTATGTCAGTACACCCAATGGGTTACAGAAGATATGCTAAAGTATCTAAACCCCAGGGACGTACAACCATGCTTTTTCCCCAAGTAGTTTTGCTACAAGAGTCCGTTTGTTCGCTTACATTTCATTAAAGGTGTTGGTAGATAGTCATAGGAAGTCAAAACTTAGAGAATCAGGTGAAAGATTTTACTAACATTGGTAACATCCTTTTACTGTCAGTGCAATAAGAGATTTTTATTACCATTTAATATTGTCATAGCTTTCTGGGACAGAAATAAAAGATGAATGGAACAATGCAAGGGTGGTTTAAAGTGCTACTCAGCACTCTTCAAATACAAGTTTTCCTGTCCTGAACAAAAGTACTTTGTCATAACACAGTCCAGCGGATTACTATGTTAATCTCAATGTCTTCAAAACTAAGTTTAGATCTTGCCTTACTGAAAACTAGTCTTTTGTGCTTACTATGTGGTTCCCATATTTTGAGGGAGGGAGTAGTAATATATTGGCACTTTAATCAAGTATGCCATTTTAACTCCTAATCTTCCAAAGTCTTTAAAATGTGTGCACTCCTGTGACAGCAGTATGGTTATACTCCAACCTGAGTGTTTCCACTACGTATCTTATTACAGATCTAGTCTTCAGATAGCACGTTTAACAACCCCGCCCCCCATTCCAGTTATGGATCTTACTTGCTGCGCTTTAACAGTGTTTGTTTTATGCACCTAATGGGTCATTTCTACTCTGTTGGAAGTCTTGAAAGGTGAACGTTTGCATATGTATTTTTACATAAATGCATAAAATCTTATCTTAATTTTGTTAATTGTAAAACAAGGCTAAATGGATAAACTTTGCTATGTAAAGTGTTGCAGTACTTAAATATTAATGGGAGGTTTATTTTAACATGTTGTCAGAAATATTCCTTGCTGTTAGTTCACAGTCTGTATTTTTTAATGAAAATTTGTTCTGGCAGGTATACATTTCTTTCATCAATTGTTTTGGTATATGTGAATTAAGTATGCTTAAACATGCCACCCCGCCTTTCCCCCCAGCCCTAGAGATTACAAACCCTTGGCTGTTCTGTAACAGGAAAAGTATATTTCATAGCTGTACAACTTTCCCACAATGCCTTGCCAACTTATAAAGGCACTCTGAAATCAAACAAGTTCTTACCATATTCTGTTAATCTTCAGTATTCCTGC